CACACACACACACACACGGGGTCACTGCTAGACGTCGCTCGTTCACCGCCGCCATCGCCCCCCGCCACCGTCGACACACACTGTCACGGCTCTACACACAGACCTCCACTGCCCGTTCACCGCTGCCATCGCCCCCCGCCACCGGTGACACACACACACGGCTCGCCATGCACACGCACAGACGCCATCGCTGGCCTCTATCACCGCCGCAATACTATGTCCGAAATTCCTCTACAGCGCACCAATGGCCGTCGGAGGCCGATGCCGGATGAATTGAGTCGGAGATATTGGTAGTGAGCGACGGAAATTTACTCTCTCTCTCTCTCTCTATCTCTCTCTCTCTCTATCTCTCTTTCACACACACACACACGGTCATTGCTCGATGCCTCCTGTTCACCGCCGCCATCGCCTCCCCTCCACCGTCGACACACACTGTCACGGCGCTACACACAGCCCCCCACTGCCCGTTCGCCACCGCCATCGCCCCCCGCCACCGGTGGCACACACACACACGGCTCGCCACGCACACACACAAAGGCCTCTATCGTCACCGTCATACTATGTCCGAAATTCCTCTACAGTGCACCAATGGCCGTCGGAGGCCGACGCTGGACGAAGTGAGTCGGTGATATTGGCAGTGAGCGACGGGAATTTACCGATTAGGATTAGAATTTTGGGTTTCTTATTTTTTGTAGAATTAGACAATTTTGAGGGGCCTTTTTGCAATTTATTAAACTTGATTATTTTCAATTTAATTTATAGGCAAATCTGTAATTTTTGGAAATATATATAAATATTTACATTATATATTTTTTATACACATTTAAATATTATATATTTTAACCAAAAAATAATATATAAATAAATAAAATAATAAAATACTATGTATATTTTTGTAATAATAAAATATGAAATACAATGAAATACTAAGTATATTTTCATAATAACTAGTACAAATCCCGTGCAATGCACGGGTAAGAAATATTGTTTAATATTTATAAATTAAAAATGCTCATTAAATAATATTTATAAATTAAAAATATGAAATTAATTTGTAATACAACTTACCTATATTAAATTGTTGAAAATATTATATGAAATATAAATTGTGTAAAATTACATTAAATATGTCTAATTAAAATTAGTACACGACCCGCACGATCAAGGACCCAAAAAATAGTTATTAAAAATAATTAAATAGCCTACCATTAATACAATTATTTTGGAATAATTTTACAATAAATATTATTTAAAATATCAACCAAATTTACTCGATTGTGTAGTTAGGAAATCTTAAAAATGTATATTTTATGGTCTAATTATTTCCTTAATTATCTACAGTTTGAATAATTAAATACACAATAAAATAAATAATAATTATTAAATAATATTTAACTAAAAATTGTCATTAACACAATTTTTTAGAATAATGTTTTGCAAATCGCATAATTGATTATTTTAGTTGATATTTTCATAATTCTAGTAATTATTTGCAGATTGTATAAATTATTTGCATTTACATAATTTGCGTAATTAAGGTATATTAAAAATTCATTTCACAAAAGAATTACACGAAAAATATAAAACATTTATTAAATAATTAATTACACAATTTAATTGGAAGATTGTTACCAAATCACATAATTGATATTGCAGTCGAAATTCCCATATTTAGGTAAATTAGCCAAATTCACATGATTTGAGTAATTAATGTATTGAATTTTTTATATACCATAAATAATGAGCCGCAATTTTCATAAATGATTATTTCAAATATACCATAAATTGTTAAATTAATTTCTTTTTTTTTCAGAACGATAGAGATTTCTATAAATAAAACGCACAAATGTGCAAAGGTACAACCCCTAGCTGAACTACGCAGCCAACAGCTGAGAAAACAGAGAGGACATATTCGGAGATTGCCTAGATACCGACGCTAGCCATGCTAGAAACCGAACGGCACACACGAAACACATCACACAAAACCTACACTGAAAATGCTCCCCAAAGGAGAATAAGGACGACCCCCACGGGGTAATACGGACTCACAGGGGCCAACGGCCCAAACCAAAAATACAATCCTAAACAACAAAGACAAATAAAAGGACATGAGAAGAAACATAAATCTAAAATCAAGCCCTTCCCCAGCTAGCAAGCGGGCCCAACCAGCAAAGAACAAACGATCCAAGGAAGATCCCGAGCCCAGACACAACAACCGAAACTGTGAATTGCCTATACATAAGCCGCATCTGAGCTCCAAACCTAGTTCCAAAACGCTCCGCCCCCGACCAAGAGAACAAAGACCCACTCCAACACCGTCACGACCTAATTCGACTATCACCACTAGTCAAAATCAGGTGCTCTGAGCCCCACCCGATCCCAACACCAGAGAACCGGGGGAGAGAGGGAATAGATCTGGTCCTACAACTCCAGCTACGCCGTCGAGAGACACCATAGCCACCGGAGCCCCGCCCCACCGCACCTGACCCTCCGATCGACAATCACCGCAGTCCGCCGGCAACCAAAAAGAAATCCCCGTCGGAGCCCCGCCAGAGAAGCGGAGCCGCCTCCAATCACCGGCGATAACAAATATAGAGGGCAAAGACCACCAATCGGGACCCACCTGCAATCGACACCACCAATCGCAAGACCAATCGTCGGCCGTGGAGCTCACCATCTTCAATCCTGATTTTGCTGGCAACCAAGGGTAGGGGCAGATCGTCAAGATCCGATTCACCACAGCAACAACAAACGAACGAGGAGACAGTGAGAGGGACGAGCAGTCAAGGGCGACGGCGGGCTGAGGCCGCGCCGCTGGCGAGGAAGGCAACACAGCGCGAGGATGGAAGACGGCGGAAGAGTTTTTCTTTATCGCGAGAGAGGATTTTCTTATTGGGGTTTGTTAAATTAATTTCTTGACATAGTATATAGATTTTTTTGGAGGGAAAT